CAGTACTATATTGACTGTGGGTAAAACTCAAGAAATTTTTTTTTACTTTTTTTTATAGTTTTATTACAAAAAGTGCATTTTATGATGAAATTGATGAAAAAAAAACAGGAATTTCTTGATATTTCGCATAGAAAAATACCACGAATCGGTGAAAAATAACGCGAATCGGCGAATTTCCCTTGAATAAGGCTCCAAAGAAAAAATCCGCGAAGTCGTGAATCCGCGATAAACGAACCGCAAAGTAGCGAGGGATCACTGTAATATCCAATATATAATTTCACAGCAGTTTATAAAAGTGAGTCTACTTCCAGAAAAGAGCCGTGCTGACCTGTGACTCTGTTTTCTTCGCACCTGGTGCCTGCATCCATACTAAGCATTTAGCAACACATGGATTTTTACAGCCACAATAGATGGCCACATGTATTAGGATGGCTACTGAAGACAGCTGTAATTCCCTCTACTAAATTCATCCGTGTCTTTGGGTTCAAGGCAGCAGCAATTATGCTCAAACCAGCAAAGCAGCCACGGTTCCATTCAAGGGGATTTAGTGAAGTTGTGGCAAACATAAATTTTGGACCACGGATAAATTAAAACTTGCTGCAGAGTAAGCAAAGTACGGAGTAACTGTAAAAAATAGAAAAGTGAGTAAGAGCTCTGTTTGAACCCCACAGTGGTATTTATTCAGGGGAGCGATGTTTAGTCTGAGTTGATTAGAGAGATTATCAAATGGAAGCTGACGCGTGATTGGCAGGGAGACGCTCCAGCTCCCTAATGAACATTTTCTGAAGAACAACATATAATCACATGCAATGGCGCATTCACCGTGGACTCTGGCCTTTGACTGAGCTGTGCTGAAACACATTGGCATCGTGCGTGACTGTTAACATCAGTATGGATGCACTTGTTCTCTTGGTGAACTCATGCATTTACTCATTTAATCCAGTGAGAATTTGAAACCTCATTATTCAAAAGAGTCTGTTTGGTAGACTTTCTTAGTAACTTCTGCTAAAACATAAACTCAAATATTTATTTATTTTAACTTTTATCACAGAGATCTGGACGCCCAATAATTATTTTTAACATGGAAAACACTAAACTTATTATTTAAGTAACACTTTACAATGAGGATCCCTATAATAACGTTATTTAATACGTTATTAAGCATTAATAAACCATTAAATAAAGTGTAAACTGATTTACCATAATATGCGGTGCATTGCTAAGCAGACACCTCCCTGGCCTTCTGTCCTAACCCTAAGGATATTCAATAGTTAACAATAACATTATTTAAAGGGATCTTACCATCATTTTGGCTAAAATAAAAATACCTCAAATTACATAAGTCCAGTCAGTAAATTACCCTTCATGGATTGAGTTGAACCTGCACATGGAGCCTATGGAAACTCTGTGTCCACTTAAACTAAGGGTCGACAATCGTCAATAAAACTCAAAAGAATAATCTGGTTGTTTTCAAGTGATATTCTATTAATTATTTATCTACATGAAGAAGCATTAGTCTCTAGAAACAGGAAGAAGTCCACTAGACCAGAGCAAATGGCCAGCCAGATCAGCTTGGCTCGTTTCCGGTACAAAAACAGCAAAAACAATCACAACTATCGTAGTGTCCCCCGTAAAAACCAAGCCAAAGGTTGATATCTGTCCAGCAGTCCAACAAACTAATCTACCAGTTTCACACTCCATCAGCCTGAATTTATGGCATAATGCAGCGTTTCAATGTTACTTGGCAGAGCATTATTAGATGGAAACACTGAACATCAACTTTTCTTCTCCTTTTCCACATGCATTCACCCGTTGTTCTCTCTATACATCTGCCAGATATGTGCACATGGAGGTCAGGAGAACAAGATGGAGTGATGAGGAGGAGGCGGATAGAGGTGTAATTTCACACCTGTTGGGTTCACGGCCTCAGAAATGATGACTGGCAAGGGAGACGGTGAGGAGGAGGTGAGAAGCGTGAAAGTTTTCATTTTTTTCTTGTCTGCTTTTGTCTTAAAGAAATATTTTTGTGCTAAATTCTCGAGAGAGTTGGATTCTTTGAGGGTTCAGAAAGGTTGAATAGGGTGGAGGTGTTTGTTTTTACTTCTAATGTCTTAAGACAGATTGATAGTCTTATCTCAACCAATCAAACCAAAAGGAACCAAAAGTTTCCACTTTTACAATGAAATGTCTTAATCAGCCACTTATAATGCTTCTGATGATTTACCTTATCTGTAGAGGTAATGTCACGCATCTTTTATCATGAAATAATTTTATGTCAAATTCTCCAAACACTGTGTGGGTTTGGTTTAGACAGCTGCATTGTCCTCAACATTGCTTCCAATTACTGCTGTTGTCTTCAATATGTTCATATGAGATTCTACTGAGGTCAGAACCTTTTATTAGTAACTTATTAGTAATAATCAAATTACCTTGAAATTCCTTTGTGTTTGGGTGTTCATTGCCAACGTGGGCCAGATTTCACTCCAGCTGTAAACAAAAG